TTCTAGGTTATAATATTTACAGAAGCATATTGCCAGGTCTTTCTTCCACACAGCTGCTGGGTGGGTTCAAACGGCCAGTCTTTTGGTTAGCAGCCAAGCGCCTGACCAGTGTGCCACCAGAGTTCTTTAAATGCTTAATAGGCTCTCGTATTGTTGTCCTCCTCCTCCTGTTTACTGGTATTACAGTTGTTTAAATATCTATGTGAGATGTTTGAGCAGAGGTGGTATACCTTAAGCAGTAGCAAGTAAGAGATGCTAAGTAAATGTTTGTTCAATGAATGGATGAATCTAGATTAGTGCTTTCATTTTATTGAGAAAACAGATACTCAGATAATGAAAATAGCTTGCTCAAATAAGCAAGTAGGACCCAGGTTTTGAGATTCTCGGTTTCAACACAGCAGCTGACTCTGTTGTTTGATTTCTTTCTTTTTTTTTTCTTTTTTTAATTCTCTCTTCTCTCTAGTTGCCGATGTTAATCTGTCCATATTAGAATAGAAAAATATTTAAGAACAGTGGTATACATGTAATGAATACTGAATAAATGTATCCTTGTTGATTTGTAGAGAGCTTCCAAGGAAGTACTATCTGGTTAGCAATTTATCCTGTGCAGTACATTGTTCCCTTAATTTTAACTTTAAAAAATTATGTGGGGAATAGATAGGGCTGATCTAACTCAAAGTCTGAGAAATCTTTTTTTAGAGTGATTTGAGCTGGTTAGTCAGTAGAGGGTGCTCTGACACTGCATTTTGAGAGATGAGGTTTCTTTTTCGAAATGTATATTTGTTTCTTTTATGTTAGAATTATTTTAAGAGAACAGTTCTTGGTGCTTTTAAAAAATACTTCCTTAGTAAGCACTAGTGTTGCTTTAGATTCTAGGCCTTCTGGTAAATAATTTAGAAATAGCTTCTCTTTGTCAACTGTAAAACAAGTATCTCTAATGAGAGATTATTATTCTGTGTAAAGTGTTTTATTTTCAGGTCTGGTTGTTGAAAGTAAGAAGCTGAAACTACCTTTTGAATTAAAAAAAAAAAAAAAAAAAGCAAAAACTGATACTGATCTTGGACACAATCGAGTGACCTAGAATTTAGTACTATACCTATGTGATTTTAAAAGTAAACTTTAGCAAAGTGCTCTATTGAAAACTTGTGTGCAGTTTTTCTTTAAAGTTTTAATAACTTTAAAATTCTAATCATAAATGCTATGCAGACCTTTTTCTTATTTCCATCATCTTTCTTAAGGTTGTGAATTTCTAGAATTTTATAAATTGTTCTGTAAATTGGATTTTTGAACTGTTGTTTACATGTCACTTTATACATGTATTGTCCCCTTGATTATTTTTGTACTTTTCATACATAAGAATTGGATTATTTCGTTCATTTTAGTCAGGTTTAGAAAGCTGTGAAATACAGTGCTATTCTAAGACTGCATTTGTACCATATATAGAGTAAGGCAAAAGTCACAGTAATCATTAAATTACTTTGGTTTGCATTTATAGTTACACCCTTTTTTAAATTCAGTCAAATGTAGTGCTGTTTTCAGTGAACCTCTAATGTATCAAACTTCTGAAATGTTTGCATTTATTTTACTGAAATGGACTTAGCCAGTAGTTCTCTAGCATATGGAGAAGATGCCTTTCAAAAGATCTTGGAATATAGATTCGCCTATCTGACTGCAGATGGTTAGCTAGAATGAGTGCCCTTGTCTAAAATCAGCGCACATCCATTATTGCTACACTTTGTGCCAATATGCATATATATGTTAGCAGTAATTAAAATGTAAAGAAGGAAGAACTTAAGCAAAGAAGCATGAAAGTATATTCATTTTGAGAATCGAATTGGGAAAAGTCTAGAGCAGTGTAAAGAAGAGAAAGAAAAAGATAAAATTTGAAAATAGATTTAACGCTAAATATTCAGATGCAGTCTTTTTTTATAGGAGAGTAGATTGAACCTTTAGTTGGGTCCTCTACCGGGATATCCAGTTTCAAATTCTGACCTCTTCTTTTTCTGTTAAGTTTAGGTTAGATGTCAGAGTAGCAGTATAATAGTTAAGTGGCTACATTATGATTAACTTCCAGTTAAGGCTAAAGGGTAGCTATAGAGAATATCTAGAGAAATTATACAAATTTGTATTTTTGAAGTCTTTGACATCAGGTTATAGTGTATGAGAAATTTAGTACCTTTAATTTCCTGTTTTCTTTCATAGATTTTCTTGAATATTGATAGAATCATCAGAAATAAGTAATCTGGGAACTAATTAATTCAGACATTATGTTAGGCGTTAGTGTCCTTGCATCATAATCATTCTAGTATAAATAGCTGCACTGAATCGTGTGAGCTGTAGAATTTGACATTAGAAATAAGTACGGTTAATTTACTAAGTTTTTCTAATTCAGTTTTATTTTTAAAGTCGTTATAGAATAATTATTAACTATTATTTAGAATATTTTTCTGTTAATGCTTTATATTTAAATTTAAATAGGATTTCTAGAAACTATAATATTTACATTACCATCTTAATCCTTAGTATACCAAGAAAGAGTCATCATGATTTACCATCTGAGTCCAATGAATTTTTAAAATCTATATATATTTCTAAGTCATTTTAGAAATAATTTAATGAAGTAAGAATAAAGGTGTAGTGTATAACAACTTTATTACAAATTTTAATAAGATTTAAATACAGCAAATTCATATTTTTATTCCGTATTTTCCTGGTTCTGAGACGTATGTACCTGAAACAGGCAATGTTCTATGAATACAATAAACTGCTCATGAGTTGTTATACATGAAGCTAGAACACATGTCATGTATCTTGTAAATACTAATCCTAGATATCAAATAGATCGCTGAGAGATTCTAGCTTATTACTTCTGGCTGTTCTTGCACTTAACAGCAATACTTAGAAGAATTTTTAAAACCTTTGACAGCTCATGCTTTTGTTGTAAAATATTTTCATTTTTACATTAGTAAGCACCAAATAGAATGATCAGTCCAATGGTTTTTTTTTTTCATTTCTGTATCATCTAATCCCTTTCAAACATCTTTGTGCACAAATTTGTCTTCAGTATTTGCCCACTTACTATTAAGTAAATTGTAGTGCACAAATGGTACCAAAAATGAAAAAATACTGTCATACATCCTTTTAGCAAAATGGAATGGCCCAGGCTCTTGTCACAAAATATTGTGTGATAAAATCATTTTTGTTGAGTGACTAATTGGGTGAGAATACCACATGTCATTTTTGTCCTTAAAAATATATTATTTGCTCATCAGTTCTTGAGTTCTATGAAATTCATCTAGGGTATTATTAAAGACTCATAGCCTTGAGATTTCACCATCATCATAAAGTCTAGAATACTGCTCTCTGTCTCTTTGCATTCATCTTCTGATTTCTTTAGTGACTGTGAAACATCTTCCTCTTTCAGTTTTCTTCTCTTTGCCATTTTGGAAAATGAAAAATTCTGGATTCTCAGCTGGGTTAATGATAGCTAAAACCAGACTCCAGAAATGGAGTCTCCATTCTTATTTTACACATTCTTAAAAGATGATGCAATACTTTAGTCCATATAGTAAGAAAATGGAAAAAGATGCACTTGCGATGATTTACTTTATTACTGTATCATCATTCTGGGCATTTCATCATTCTTCGATTTTCTTCTTATTTTAGTCTTTTTAGCATAATTGAAAATAATTGATGAGTAATTGTGAAATAATTTTTGGATGATGACATAGTAAAATGTTTCAAGATACAGGAAAAAATAAGATTGCTAACATCCCACAATGTATCTTAGATTTATAAAAGCATCCAGTGGATCCATATGGCAATTACAAGATAGAATGAGTTGTCAGTTTCCCCTTTATTCTTTGGAAATCCTTTCAAAAAGAAAGTCATGAAGTTTAAAATGTTAAAATAGTAGAACTGCTCAAAAAAGAAATTCAGAACCTAAAATTGGGTCCATTGGATCTTGATAGTATACTGAGGGTTAAGTTTCTATGACTCCTTTATTGATTTATTAATTCAGCATAAATAGTACTAGCCAGTATTTGAATCCTTGGTCAGGTGATATATTGTGTCATGCAGTTTGAGGGAAATTAGATGTATTTTCAAATTTTGAAGCTCTTAAATCTAGGAGTAACTTTATTGTAATATACAGATAAGAACAGGATTGTACATAATACCAAATATTCCTCTTTTTGCTTTTGTTCAGAGTTATTAATTTAATTCTGATTCACTAATTAAGCTGCCTCACTAAAAATTTAGATTCTTTAAAAGGATAATTTAAAAAATAAGATTTGTCCATTGAAATCTGCAAGGTTTGTATTATTGACCTTTGTTTATGGCTAAATAATTTGCTTCACTGTGAGTAATGGTTGTATTAGGAAAGGTTTTCTTATTTAAGAAGTCCAAAACTTATTTTTTAAAAACCTTTACAGTTAGGCTGCAGATGAATATTTGGTGACTTGGAAAAATGTTGACATTATATTGTTCTTGAAAAAAGCAGATTGTAGTACACTTTGTAAAAGATAATCTGTATTTAGGTATGTATGTGTAGATAAAAGATTGGAAATGTATATATGCTATAGTGTTAACAGTAATAACTAAAGAATAGATGATGTGTGTGCTTTTTAGGTATTCTCGGTTCTTAAAATTTTCTAGAATTTTGTTATTTTAAAAATAAAAAATATTTATTTAAATAAACTTAAAAAACCAGTTGCCCAGTATGACTGCTAGGATGATAATTAGATAATGCAGTACCTTAACATAACACAGTACACGTTATGCCTCAGCACATCCCGTTAGGTATATTGAAAAAAGTCATCCAATGCCTTGAAAGTATCCCATATTGACCTGGCATATAACTGTGTAAAATGTTACCTTCCTGTGATTTGCAACTGTAGCCCCTGACATTTGATGTTAAAACGTGCTGGAAATTTATTTTGGAGTTGTGGTTATAACTTTAAATATTTATTCTTTCTTAAAATATACTTTTTCATTTTTAGGCATTATCCGATTGGTTTGCTGTTTGATCTTCTTGCATCAAGTTCAGCTCTTCCTTGGAACATCACAGTACATTTTAAGGTATAGTTTAAATACAATTTCCCATCTGTCCCACTTGTGATAATTAATAAGTGGACTTACAGTAGGATTCTAAAAAAGTAGAGTTTATCGCTTATACCCATTATTACTCTTTTTAGTTGCTAAGCTGTTATTAGTGTTCATCTATAAACTACCTTTCAATTTCTTCTTAACTCTTGACAGAACCGTTTAAACATTTAATGTTTAAAAGTCTTTTTTATTTTTTGGTTAGAGCTGAATATATTATGTTTAAATTTAGAAAATTTATATTAAAAAAAATCCCTCAAATAGAACAAAAATCCTTCGTATAGAGTAGAGATGGAGGGTGTGGGATGGGAGATAACTGAACACTGTTAACTAATTCTAAGGCTATTTTGATTGAATTGAGAAAAGAGTTAAGAGATATAAGACCAAGCACTGACGTAAGTCTGTTTTGAAAAACATTAGTTCCTGTAGTTTGTAAGACCAGGCCAAATAGTTTAGATGTAACCTAATTTTGTCTTAATGTATTATAAAGTGCTGCTTCTGAATCTTACCCTCTTGTCCCCCAGTCATCCGTTTCCATATCACAAACACCATTGAAGGATCAGAAACACTTTTATTAGTGGATCATTAGGCAGCGATTCTCAAATAGTGATGAGTAGGGGTAGGCAGGCATGTAGAGTTTGAAAAAGTCATTTATGTGTCTCTGATTGGCCTTCCTGTGTGGCACCCATTCAGAATCACTGCCCAAAGGCTGCTTAGCCATTCTTCCTACGATGCTTTCCTTCCTGTTCTGAAATTGAGTTTGTGGTCACTGAAGCTGCCTGAAACTTAAGAGCTATTGCTGTTCAGTGACAAGTGATTAGGCAGTAGCCAGGTGAAGGAGTTTAGGAAGTGGCTGTGGGAAGTAAGAGAAACAAAATATTTCATACTTAAGCATGCTTGTAATTTTCATGGAGTAAGTCAATGATTGCAGACACCAACTTAACTAAATGAAGTTTTATAACTTGAAGGAGTTTGTCACTATACAACAGTGATAAAATTATTCTCTTAAAACAGTGAAGCTTTTTTACACAGACTAGCTTTTGATGTGTAGTGCTTTTTGCACTACTATTGAAACTCAGAGCCAGATATGCTCTCTTAAGAAGGTCATAAGGGAACTTTCAGGTCTGTATTTAGGCTACCAGTGGGACTTTCATACACTTAGAAAGAATTTAGTTTTTATTAAGTCCAGATCTCCCCCCAAAAAAAAAAACAGCTGTTAATTAAATCAGAATTTTGTTGGTTACAGGGATTTGAAGATGGATTGAAAAGCAAAATTAAAATTTCTTTTATAGTTTGACTAACTACAGATGGCTAGCATTCCTTATAATAAAAGGAATATTTAGAAGGAAACTAAAACCCCGGGATTCAGAAAAAAGTGTCTCATTTATCTTTCAGTTTATTTGATTTTGGTATCAGAATCTACCATGTCCCTAAGCTGTGAGAAAAAAAAAAAAAAAATGAGAAGATGACTTGACCTGATCATTCATTTTTTACCTTTAAGTTGTTATTATTTTATTTACACAACTGTATTTTTAGGTATTTTTTGGTAAGGAGCTCTCTTACTGTAGTATTTATTGAGATTTTGCTATGTGCATGTACTGTGCTGTTTGGTATACATAGGTGAACAAAATAGACTTAGTTTCTGCCCTCCTGTAGCTAAGTGCTTAATGCAAGAGATGGATAAGGGCTATAAAGAAAAAGAATACTGAGAAGAGTAAGAAAATAAATATTGAGAAAAGAAAGAAAAAAATTAGTGAGATAAAATGATGGGGCTAAGGCTAAATGGGGGCAACTGTTGTTGTTAGGTGTTGTCGTGTCAGTTGTGACTCACAGTGACCCCATATGACAGAGTAAAACTGCCCTGTGAGGCTAGGCTATAATCTTTACAGGAGCAAATCGCCAGGTCTTTCTCCCCCGGAGCCACTGGGTGGATTTGAATCGCCAACCTTTTGATTAGCAGCCAAGTGCTTAACAGTTACACCACCAGTGTTCCTTAAGTGGGGGCAATAGACCTGCCCCGTTTAAATTTGGAGAGTCATTCAGTGTAGACTTAATTAAGGAAGTAACATACATGATTATTCCTAAAGGATAAAATGATTAGCTGGATGAAGGTTATTTTGGAAAGACTTTATAATGTATGAAAGAGTAATTATGTTAGTACCAGCGATTTATGTTTTGGAGCCCTGTGGAGGCCTAGAAATATGAGTTGAACATTTAGATTAAAGTTTATTAAATCTTAGTATATGATAATTAGCTTGTATAAAAATTGATACAGTGATTGTAAAGTACTTCTAACAATATTACCGATTTCCTCTTGCTTTTCTGACTCATGATCTTTAAAAAGTCATTTAAACTTTGGAGCTTATTTCCCTATACATTTGCACTGATGTGCTTTGCAGAGTACCACGTTAACAAAGATTTGTTACCATGGAACCGTACAGAGTGGGGACATGGTTCCAGTCTTCACTAGTTTCAGTTACCATGGTACCATGCAACGTGAGGACTGCCTATATCTACAGTAATTGAAGTTCAGAATGGTGTGAAGATTAAACTGCTCCAAGTATAATGAGGGCAGAGGTTCCATATTACCTAGCAGCACTGTTAAGTAGAAAAATATTAAAATAACTAGATTTTTTTTTTGTGTGTGTGTGTCTGTGTGTAAAGCACTCCAAAAAACCTTGAAATCTAGGTTTAAATGTATCAGAGCTACCTATTTATTTGTTAATTCAATAAATATTTATTGAAAGCTTGCTATGTGCCAAACACTGTTCTAGGAGTTTGGGTTACATAACTGAGTGAAACATACACTCAGTACCCAACATTTATTATAATGCCTGGCACCACATAATAAGCCCTTTGTAATTATTGGTTGAATGAGCCAGTGGATTGTAGTAACGATAGGAAAGGCTCAGGATTGTTATGATTGGTGTAGTGCGATAGTTCTAAAAGTAGTCTGTGGACCTCTGGGGGCTCCCAAAACTCTTTAAGGAGATGCATGAGGTCAAATCTATTTTGTTAATAATACTAAGATTTTAATTTCATTGTGTTCCTTTGCTACATTGATGTGCAGAAGCAGTGATGGGTAAAACTTGGGCACCTTAGTACAAAACAAGGTGGTGCACCAAACTGTACTAGTCTTCTTTGTATTCTTCGCCCTCACACACTTACAGTAAAAAGAATGCCAGTTGTACTTAATAATATTTCAGATGAAGTAGTATGAATTATTAATCATTATCAATCTGGAATCTTAAGTACATGTCTTTTTAATGTCCTGTATGATGAAATGGGAAGTACACATAAAGATCTTCTGCATACCATATATGATAGTTGTTTTGAGGAAAAAACAACTTGTGCCATTATTTGAGTTGCAAGCTGAACTAACCACTGTTTTCATGGAACACCAGTTTTTACTGGAAGGAATGACTGACAGACTGGTTATTTAGACATGCATATTAGATATTCTCTCAAAAATTAACAAAGTGAATATAATACTGCAAGGAAAACAACTGACAGTATTTGTTGCCAGTGATAAAATTTGAACTTTCAAGTGAAAATTAGAATTTTGGAAAACAACTATCTGCCACGTGTGCCTAAATCTTCAAAAATTTTCCGATGAGATTGGTATTCATTCTAACAAATCTGATTTTTAAAAAATTTTATATGATGAAGTGTGTCAGCATTTGGAGATTTACATAACTCAGCCAACATTTTACAGATGGACAATGCATGATATTAGTTATACATATGTAAAAGATCCACTTAATGTACAAGGTAGAAAAAGGGATTTTAATGTAACAGAAGAAATATTCATTGATATGGTTTAAGATTCTGCGTTAATATTGTAATAAAGCACACTTAGTGACTTTTGGTATAATATCAAAAAAGAATATCTACAATTCTGAAAAGGCTATTAAAATACTCCTCCCTTTGCCAACTACATATGTCTGTATGAGCTTATATTTTCTTCATATACTTCAACCAAAGCAACATAGGAGATTGAAGGTAGAAGCCAATAAGATAATCCATATGTCTTCAGAATCAACTTGAGGGCAAAGTGGTTAGTGAGTGTGAAGAGACATCTCATTGTAATCTTACTTTATATTTCCCTAATGACTAATGATGTTGAGCATCTTTTCATGTGCTTATTGGCCGTTTATATATCCTTTTTAGGTAAGTGTCTATTCAAGTCCTTTGCCCATTTTTAGATTGGGTTGTTTGTCTTTTTATTCTTGAGTTGTATGAGTTCTTTGTATATTTTCATTATTAAACCCTTATCAGATACATGAATTCCAAGGATTTTCTCCCATTCTGTAGGTTGTCTTTTCACTTTCTTGATAGTGTCCTTTGATGTACAAAAGTTTTTAATTTTGGTGAAGTCTAATTTATCTATTTTCTGTTTTGGTACTGGTGCTTTTGGTGTCATATATAAGAATCCATTGCCTGATACAAAGGCCTGAAGATTTCCTCCTATGCGCTATTCTAAGAGTCTTATTACTATAGTGCTTATAATTAGGTTGTTGATCCATTTTGAGTTAATTTTCATATATGGTATGGAAATCCAGTTTTATCAATTTTTTTTATTGTACTTTAGATGAAGGTTTACAGAACAAATAGTTTCTCATTAAACAGTCAGTACACATACTGTTTTATGACATTGGTTAAGAACCCCACGACGTGTCAGCACTCCCTTCTCGACCTTGAGGACCTTTTTTTTTTTGGTGAAAATATACATAGCCAAAGTTAAACCATTTCCAAAGTTTCTACATGTGCAGTTCAGTGACATCGATTACATTCTTCGGGCTGTGCTGCTATTCTCACTATCCTTTTCCAAATTATTCCATCGCCATTATCTTCAACTCACTGCCCCCCCTAGGCTTCCCATCAGACCTTTTGAGTTGCTGTTGTCAATTTAATCTCACATAGATAATTCTTTTTTTGTACCTTAAATCAAGGTTTGCAGAACAAATAATTTCTCA